TCTCGGCGGGGCGCAACCCTGAAGCGTCGGGGGGTGCGGCACGCACCGCTGGCGGTGTGACTCTTTCCTCCTGCAACAGGAGGCAGTTTCACCTCTTTGCGTCATCGGCCCAGACTACCTAGTCACAGGCCTCCGTGCCGGGCTCCTTATCACGAGCACTCAGGGTTTCCTGAGGGGCGTGCTCTTGTGATAGCCCACATCTGCTCTGAAAGGCTGACGGCTGTCTTTGGTGTGGGGCGCACGGGTGGCGGGGACAGGGACCACTGGAAACCTACAGCTCTAGTCAGCCCTTGGTATAACTGTGTTTTTGACAAGGGCTGACAATTTCCTTAAACAACTCGTTCGCATCTGGTATGGACTTTCAAGGCTAACCACCTTCTAAAGGTTTGGTCCGTGCAGGAAAACTGACTGGCAGGCACCCGCTTTTAATTCACACGTCCAATTACCCAGCGCATCGGCTTCCCTTGCTTGAGCGCAGCCAGACGCAAGCGATGTTGCTACTTGCTTGCCTGTGAGACCCCCCCCCGCCACACGATCCGGGTCGGGGATGCAGCGAGGGCTGACTCGCCGGGACAGAATTGGGTCGGGCTTTCTGAGGCTGCTGAGCTTGGCTTTCCTGTGCATGATGAGCAGCGTCCGTGGCTGTGAGCACATGATCAGCCCAGGCAGATCACCAGCCGACTTGCAAATTGTCAAAGTTGCGCTTTGCTGTCCTCAGAATCAAGTCCAGTGACTGGTGCTCCAAGGATAAAGACGAGTGACTGCAGTACGCTCATATTTGAATAGGTTTAATGCGTTGCTTCAGATTTGAGGCAAGAAACCTGCCCCGTGCCTTGCTGTAGCAGGGCTACTGACATCACTCAACTATGTGCTTAAGTATACGCTTGTAGTTAAGTTAGTGTTTAATTACTAGGGGCCATGCCTGATGTGGTGTGTAAATTGTGGAGGTTTTGGTTTCTTGGCCGGATTTGAACCGTGCAGAATCAAGCTGTGTAGGCTTTAGGGTTGCTTCTTTTGGTTTTGTTTTGACAGGAGAGAAAAACTGATTTAAAAAAAGGTAATTTGATTTCTGATCATTTTTCAGTATCTTATTTTCCTCTTTGTTTCTTCAAAAGCCAGTCAGTTCATTAAAAAGAGGTAATCATCCTGAAGTGGAAAGTTGAAATGAAATGTTTTGATTTTCCCAACAGCATGTTTTATTTTCCTTTTTTGGTTAAAGCTATGCACTGAGCTCTGGCCTTTCATAAATGTGACATTTAACTTTTGACCGAAGTAAGTCTGCTTTTGCTCTACCTGAGCCTCTTATCTATCAGAGAGTTCCAGTTGTGAAAGAACTGATGCGTGTTAGCTGTCCTGTTCAAATTATTGGACTAATTCTTAAGCATCTTTGCAGAGTTTGAGCCGTTTCTCCCCTTTTTAGATAGGCAGCTGTCTTATCAGCTTCTGAGGAGAAAATGTTGCCTTTTTTCATGCTCAGTGGAATGTGGGACTCTGGAAGCCAAATTATTCTTAGAGCAATATGGCTGGCACAGCTACCTCCTAATACACTTGTAGTGCAACAGAAAGAGAGGCTGAGGGAGTTCACACCAGCCACTTGCTTCATGAAGGGCTGTCTACTTTACAATATTGTCAAGGCTGTGGGAAAATACTCATTGTGCGGCAGGATGTCAGAGCTATGCAATGGAAAAGACCAAAGGCTTTATCACTGGCGCATCTTAATCTTTAATGAGCTCCTCTCCCTTTTGCTTTCAAAGATTTGGCTCTGCTGCTCCTTTTCTTGATGTGATTTGGATTTGCTGCTTTCCATGTCTTTCCTGGAATGATCACAACAAAAAGCTTGGTTTAAAATCACACATGCCAGGGTAGCTAAGGCAAAACAGGGGGGGACTTACAGGGCAAAGATACAAGGGAACTGTAGCTTTCTTTGGGCCCCTTCTAGCGCAGCGCAAGGAGGGGGATGGGGAGCAGCTACAGGAGCACTTTTTGCCACAGAAGCAGCTACAGAAGCACTTTTAGCCACAGTAACTGGCTCTATGTAAGGTCTTTTGCTTCCTTTTCATAAGACTTCACATTCCTCCCAGATGCTGTCAGCTGTCAGTATTTCCACTTCATGTCCTGAACCTTCCTGCCCTCTCCAGCCAGGGTCCTGCTGTGTCCCCCAAGATGAGCTGCTTCCGTTCCTATTTTGCATTCTGAGGCAGCAAAAATGCTGCTGTTTTGGTGGGGAAACACATGCTCTTTACCCACTCTTAAGGAGAGAGGGGAAGTGCAGCAGTAAAAATGACTGAATTCTGAAATGTAACAAGAAGAAACTTCTGTCTTACATGCTTAAGTTGGTTGATTTTCCTGTCTGTGTTGCTTTACAGGTGCATGTTTACGCTGAATGCCCAGTGTAAACATACGTCACTTTGCACTTTACCCTCTCTACCTAAACCTGGTGCTCAATTTGCATTTCTGTATGAAGGCACTACTGAATTGAGAAGTTGCAGCTTTCCATCTGAGTTGTCCCTGCTTTCATCCGTGCTGTTTAACCACTTAAGCGCTGCAAGGTTCAGGGAAATCAACCTAGTTGTAATGAAGGGTTAAGCCATTCTCTTAAGTGGATTTTGCTGATTGGATTGTCCTTCATGTTCTTGCTATGAGCAAAACGTAATCACATGAGTAACGTTAAAAATCTGCCTGACCCTGGAGGCCATAAGCTGTTGCTGCAGCTGGGGTAGCAGTTTCTGTAGCCACTGGCTGTATAACTAGCATCATGTTTGATTGCCTCTGATGCCCAACCCAAATGGTTAGGTGTGGGAGTGTTCGCACCTCTGGCGACATAGCAAGGCATCTGCTCCATGGTGCCAGAGTATCTCCTGTAAGGCATACCTCACTGATGCCAGTGTGTTTGCCTTTGCAGAAGGAGTTTCTTAGTGTCTTAGAGTAGAACACCTTGGTGCACTAATTTCAGAAGTTCAGCGAGAAATATTTCATTTTCTTGCTTGTTTTTTTCACAGAAACCTGTTTCCTGCAAATCTCGTTGCTGCAGCTTTCCAAACGGTAAGATCCGTGTGAATTTGGACATGAGCTACTTTGCGGAGATAGACTGAGTGACTGCTGGCTTTTCAGAAAAGGTCTAGCAAAGTGGTATGAATAATATCAAAAGCCATAGTGGGTGGGATTATTCAAAACACCAGAGGTAATTAGACATACAACTGCCATGGCATAAGATACCCTCCAACAAAAGCGTATTCAGAGCCTGTGCTTTGTACCTCCACTAAAAAGGGTCCTTAAAACTTTTCTTCCTTGGGTGTCACTTTGGGCAGCAATGGCAGCTGTCCGCTTTGTGCCAGGCTCCTTATCGTGTTGCAGGGGCTAGCTGTGAAACCCTTGCCAGGCCATGCCGTTTGGAGCTGTGCTCCAATAAGACAAGGCTGAAGGCCTAAAAGCTCACAGGTGTGTGGGTATTACTTGCTTGATGCAAGAGCTTGGTGTTCTTCTCCAGTATTTTCCATTGTACCGCTTGGTGGATTCGTTGCTCAGCCTGGCTTCTCTCCTAACATAGGACTAAGTGTGATAGGATGATAACTGCACTAGAAGATAGTGTGATCTAAACTGATGGGCAGGAGCTGTGAAGCTCAGACAAGATTTTGATTTAGTTCTTATTGCTGATTTTAGGTGCCAGGGATAGACACTGTTGAAGATATTGCTATGGGACAGAACGATTCTTTTTGATACAGGAACAGAAAATTCATTTTTGGCTTCACGATGTTTTGTGGGTCTGCTTTTCTATCAAAAACAAGGTCAGAGTCTAAAATCAAGTTCCATTTTGAGTATATATAATACAGGACAAGTCAATATACCATGGCTAGCCAAAATAACAGAAGCACTACAAAGGTACCCTTAAGGGTATACTGTGATACCTTGAGTATCAGGGTTCTGTGTGTGTAGGGGTGAATAAAGAAGTCTTTCCTCTATGCTGCTGTTGTTGTAAGTAATTAGCAAGTAGAGCCAAAGCTGGGAGGGCTTGTAAGTCATTTAAAAAGTCAAGGATAGCGCTGGACTTCCCTGTTGCCACATGGTGAAGGAGCTGCCTGTGCTTTCCCTCCCTTTTCTTGCACAGGACAGGCTCAGCGCCTCCACAGTATGATCTCCAATCCCTGTAAGATATGTTTCTCCCTTCATGTTTTATCAATAACAGGTTAAGCTTTACATTCAGCTCAAATTGATAATGTCCTTTTCATTGGCTCAGATGTCTTCAAGGTGGGATCTTATTTATTCTTGATTGATGCAAGACGTGTCCGTTGCCAGTAGGGTTTTTCTAATTTGTGCAGCATGTATGTAACCTCTTTCTTTCACTTCAGCCTCAGCTGCAGAAAGAAACTGTAGAAACGGTAGCAGTAAAAATACTTTCTGATGCTATTTCATCAAAAAAAAAGTCTTCTTGACAGTCCATGTGAAATGCTAAATGATATGGTCATATCGATAATCTGGTCAGCAAACACTGTGGTTTTTTTTTTCTTACCTGCAGTATGCGACAGACTATAAGATACTGGTCAGAAACACTACCTCTGGAAATGTCACGTTGGAAGAGGTAAGGTCACTTATTCTCATGTTTTTATACAGTCCTTTGTTAGCCATAATGTTTGACCACCTCACAGTCTTTAATCTCTACCAGCGTTCACTGGAAGGCAACAAGTACTGTTCTCCTGCAGCTAAGACACATGCAAGCCAGATGAGTTATCTATAGCCTCACAATAAAGCTACGGTGGGAAGAGAGTTGAAGTCAACTGAGCTGGGAAGAGAGTTGAAGTCAACTGAGCTGACCCTTGATACGTTCTTCTTAGGCCTTGCTTTCTTAGGCCTGGTAACACTTGACCTAAATTTTGTTTAGTCCCTCTGCCCAATATTTCCCAAAAAACTTTTTGTAGACTTGGAATTAAGTGGCAATCAGGCCAGCTGAATGTGCCCCTTAGACCTTATTCTCCATTACGGTTAGGAGAGAATGACTTTTGCTCTCTGCCCATATTCTTTAAAGAAAAACAGGTTAGTAGAGTTTTTTTTCTGGTTACCTTGTGGCTGAAACTTAGTTTGATTTGAAGTAGTAACAAGTGGTGGAAGGGGTGAAAGTTACAATGTTACAGATTAGCTCCTATTGCGGTGTGGTCGAAACAAAACTTAATTTGCAGATGTTGCTGAGGTAGAAAGCATTGTTCTCCATAGGTAGCTCACAGGAACTCTGAATCTCTCCTGCCGCATGGGACTGTCAAATATCTTCATTATTGCGCAAAGCCAGCATACCATGTGTCTACAAAGAATCATAGTCGCCTTACAGGCAGCGTGCTGTAGACTTGAGAGACTCACCTGCAATATGTCACCTTATTCCAAATGAATTAGCCCATGTGCTTTCGTGGGATTTTGAGGAGGCAGGTCTGATGCTGAAAATGACTTTCAGGGTTATTTTATATTTCTCAGGCTCATTCTGACTTCCTGAGACGAATACCAAAAGTTGGGTTATTATATTTTAGTATGATTTATATGTCTCCAGGGCAAGAGACTTGAAATGTTTTTGTTTGTCATAGAAGGACTCAGCCAGGGCTTGCCCGGCAGTTGCACCAGTCTGTGTAAAACGATCAAGTTAAAGGCAGTTCATGTGCATCCAGAGGGACGCTGAAGTGGATCCCCAAGTGCAGGAAGTACTGGCCTCATTACCTTCTCTCCATGCATGGTGTATGAACAGGCAGTGCAGAACAGTGCGTTTCCAAACTCCCCTTTCAGCTGATTGGCTGAACTTTCACCAGCCCAGGAGGCAGGGTGAAAGGTGGCTTTGATGGAACAAGAGCTGAGCAGGGGAAAAGTCAGCCCTTGCCTGGAAGTCTGCTAGCGCACCATGAACAGTTTCACTGGGGAAGAAGATGGCCCCATCCATCTGCCCAGGATCTGCCCATGCTTGTAAGATCGAATTAGTCCAGATCTGCACTCACCACATGGTGAGCTCGGGCATGACTGCAGAAAAATCACATGAACACAAGAGAGCGCTTTCTCCTCTAATGCCATTAGATCTCCTCAGGCAGTACATGCCTGTGCAACCTGGTGCTGCTAAAAACAAGTCAACATGAAAGGCTATAATGGCATGCACTTCTGTAAATGAGCACACACCGCATAAGTGTGGAATTAGTCTTCATTAAAGCAGGGGTAAGCGAGAGGCAAATAAGGCCCTTCTTACACGTGGTCAGTGTCAAATTTGATAGGAGCTCCATGGCAAGCAAGTACCGATTAGGGCCAACCATATCCGTTGGACAGAGGCTCAGCTATGGAGTGTTTTTTCAAATGCTCTTTCAAAGCCATCATTCTTCCTCAAGAGGTAAAAATGGATTTTTTGGCAATTTGAAATGTGAGATTTTTTTTCTGTTTTCTTCTTTCTCTTTCTCACTTACCAGACTCCAGTTTGATGAAATATCACAAAAAACATTCTGAATTTGTCACTGGTGTCTGTTTTTGCCAGTGGTTATGAAGTAAAGGCTGTTTCTCCAATTACTTTCACAAAACTTTCTTCAGTTGTTGGAACCAAACCAGAGCTGACCTCCTTTAGTTGCAGAAGACGCCCTACTGTCTCCAGGGAAGTGCAGACCAAACGAAAAGGAAGCATCATTGCTGTTTTGTTAGCTCAGTTTCAATGCTGACCTGACCATATTATTTATAGATAGATGAGGATTAAGTTTGGAAAGGAAGAGTATGATTTTGGGGTAATATATAGTATAAATACTATAGTGATAGAAGTCTATTTCATGTTTTCTTTCATCAGTAGAATATTTGATGCTTTTTTTGATGCTTGATGCTGCTGCTTTTGATGTGAGTAGTGTAGAACAAAGATTGCCACTGATGTTTTTCCATTGGTTAATAGGCTCTGTCTTCTCTTGCTGATGATATGAGTAGCGGGGCACGTAGGTGTCTGCTCAGCCATGTTCTTTTGATTGTTTCATATGCTCGCTTATGTTTACCCAGCTTTTATGGCTACATCCTCTCCGAGTCTTTGGCAGCATGCTTCCTGGGGTAGGGGCTATCTTAGTTCCTCATCTGCAGCAAAGCAAGGCTGTAAGGGATTCCTGATTCCTCTTGTGACAGCAATAACAATACACAAACCAGTGATTACAGTTTTTCCTTGCATCACATGGCTGCATTTTCTTTTCAACCACCTGCTACGAGGGTAGCTCAATGTCAGCAGTTGTTTCCTGGATAAGCCTTTTGCTTCAAGAGCTAAAAAACAATAGGATCTTCAGAGGGATTCAAGGACCAGAAGAGATCCATGAATCTTCCTCCCAAGACACACGATTTCAAGCCAAATAATAATGTGTCCCGTCATTTACCCAGGAAAAAAGCTCTCATCAAAGCTGTTTTTGTTTGGTGTCCACAATGCTGCTTGGTTTGGCAGTTCCTTTGGGGCGATGCACTCCTCTGTTAAAGTACAAAAAGGCTGTTCAGTGTCTGCCAGTTTTAGAGGCTAGGATTGAGAGGGTCTTCCGCTGAAGATTTATTGCTGGACTCTTTCCATATTTTGCTACAAGGAGGTAAAATTCCGTGAACGCTGCAGGTTGCTCCCTGCAAATCAGTCGGCCAATTTCTTGAAGTAAGTTACCCTTCCATCACCTCCCTACGCCACTGAAATCTGTGGTGATGGGAGGCAATGAGGAATGTTCTGCATTTTAAAGCAAATGACTCAATGGGAAGAAAGGGAGAGCGAAACCTGAATTGGGGGGAGGGGAGGGGGCTGATGACAAAATGAGAAGAGGGAAACAGCTAAGAAGTTTATAAGGACTCTGCATAGAGCCTTCCCTCCAGTCCTCAAGAATTCAGGGGGGCCCCAAATTGCAAGAGCTGGGCTGAAGGGACCAGTGAAGTATGAGCTCTTGGAGAAAAGCAGCAGCAGTGATTGCTGTGCTGGGAGCAAGGTGGAGAGAAACATGTCTGAGGGTGAAAGAGGACTAAACTAGACATATTGTTATTCTAGAGAGGGACAGGGGTTTTTAGAAGAATTGGCCGGTTTATGTGAAGTAGGCCCCCATGAATGCTAAGATGAAAGAGGACAAGCCACATGTGCTGGCTGTAGCTAACAGGAGCGTGCGGCTGTCTCTTGCCCTCCACTAGCTTCCCAAGAGCAAAATTTGGCAAGTCCTCGGCACCAGTGGCTCTGAGGAAGGCGGAGGGGCTTGTGGGGATTAAATAAGCTAGAAGAGAGCTGGATTTCTCCAGTCTTGCAAATGACCTTTTGAGTCAGATGTGAGGAGCTCTGGCCACAGGTCTCCCTTGTCTCTGCCAGCTGAGTGCTCTTTGTGACCCTCTATGCCCTACCCAGCTGGTGGGAAGATCACCAGTCCTCTTTGGGGATCAGTACACCTCTGTCTCATGCCTGAGAGTGAAGCCCAAACAGGCAGCCGGTTGCTAAGCTTCAGGCTCACACTGCTGCATTTAATGAGTTGAGAAGCCAATCTCCAGCAGAATGGGTTTAGAAGGCAGAGATGCTTCGGAAACCATGAGTATAAAGTCATATGGTGAAGTTCTTGCGGTAACATGCGGGTCTGAATGCTGGGCACTTTCAGCAGCTTGAAACACTGCATTTCTGTTCCATAGGAAATTTTGATACTATTTTTTTTTCTGAATCAGTGCCAAAACAAAAAATGTAAAAATGTAAAAACATTTTTGGGAGTGGGGACAATTTGGAGCCCGTAATGCTAAAATGTTATTCCAAGCTGGATTTTTCATATTAACTTTGTATCAGATGAACCCAATATAAAATGTTATATTATAAAATGAGTTAAAAAATCAACATGAAAAGTTGTTTCAAAATGGAAAAAGCTTCCCATTCGCTCCATATACATTTAATAAGTGCTTTTTTTTCCTCATGTAAAAATGTTTACATTTTGCTCAAGTTGACGTTTCTTGAAGAAAGTTTTGATTTTGATGACGTGACATGGCCTATCAGAAAAATTTCAAGCAAACAGCATTGTTTTGCTAGACATTTTCTTACTTCCTGCTAATAAATTTGTCATAAAGCTTGAGATTTTACCTGGGTTCTTTCTGAGAGGTACATCGTTACTGGTAAATTCTCAGTACAACTTTACATCTTTTTAACTTCAGGAGTAAGGCGGACTTGAATTTGTTTCCTATCCTGGAGATGTTTTCCCAACAGAAGTGAAAAGTAGAAAAATATGCATGTGCCATGTTCACCAACAGTTTGTTGAATTAGGAGGTTAGATATTTGTCTAACCTTTCTAAGCATGAGAAGAGTTTAGGGTTTTTTTCAGGCACAAAAATAGTGCCTCGATGGTGGACAAAACCATCCAGACAGAAAAGTGTTACCGTGTGTGAAGAAAACAGCCTATTACTTCAGACATCTTTGGAGATAAACTGAGCCCCGTTGTTAATATCCTGTCCATGTTTCCAGTTCTTTCAATCTAAAATCCAGTAAATACTGAGAGGAATTTAGCCCAGAACAAACAAGCACCATGAAAAATTAGAAACTGTATATCTAATTATTTTGTAGCTAGCAATTAAAAAAGCCAGAAGCTTCACTGCTTTTGTCTTTGTGAACACTTTTTTAAACAGCATTTTAGCCTCCACGGTGTTTTTTTAACTCCTCTTCTGTGCAGTTCTCTGTTTCCATTGGTCATTAGGAAGAGACAATGCAGTTCAGCAGAATACATTCAGATAGAAGTATTATCTCCAAAACACTGCAGTAGCTCAGTGTCCTGAGATCTTCAGTCAATATTTTAAGCTTTTAGCTCAGAATGTATTTTTACTTCCTAGCGGTGAGCTAGTGTCTGCTCAAACTAGCTAAAAGGCCAAAACTTGTCCACAAACCTAATCTGTTTTAGAAGCCCTTCCAAAGAAAACAAAAATTTGGCATGCTGAGCTTGTGCTGCCAAGTCGGGGGGAAAAAAAAGGTTTGTCAAAACAATTGTATTTTTGTGAAGCCACAAGAACACTCACTAAGTTCCTATGATGTTACTTTGCCAAACAAACTCCAGCTCTTTTTGAAGAACAGAACTGAATGAACTGTGAAGGAGCAGGAGAGTGGGCTTGTCAGCACACTAGTTTTTCTGGATAGGTAGATCCTGGTTTTATCCTCTTACTTGTGCTGTTTAGCTACAGGATTTCGAAGAAGGGGAACAGATATTTCATCTTTTCCCTCTATCTCCCATGGCTGACATGGAGAGATGAATTAGTAACTTTTCACAGTTTGCTACCTTTTTCTGCCCCTTCTCCCCTCTTTCTGCTTCATAACGTTGTTTCTTTTTGCCTGGTTTTCACCATGATATAAACATTCCATTAAAGCATAGGGGCTGGCAGTTTCTGAAAGCAGATTCCTGTCAGAGATGTTAGGAAATAACTGTGTTTGGGGCCAGGCTACTGAAAGCAGCTTGCATATATGATTTGTTTTAGGAGGTAAAGGATCATAGTGCACACAAATGATAACAGCCACTGGAATCAACAGAGCTGGCAAGTCAGGACGACCGACACCTGCTATTTGTACCTGCAGTCTCTTCCAGAGCATCTTTCCTCCCAGGGAAGCAGTGAGAAAACCTGCAGTCTTTTAACCATTGTTCCAATTTTGTCCTGCTTTTGCATGATTTCTCTCCGTGCTCTTTCACATCTGCAATGGAGCTTGTCCTGACTCAGCTGTGAGGGTTTTTCTTTTTGTGTTGCTGAAAGCACGTGTACTGTATTGAAAGATATGAAAGGGGGGGGGTTGTGACAGGCCCTTTCCTTCTCCAGTACACCCATGCCAGCTCATACCTAGGGAAGTCTGTACCTGGACCAGATCTTGTTTGGTTCCCCTGAGCAGCATAAACGCATTCCCTACAGTCTCCACTGCTGAGCTGTCTTGCGTGAAGCGCCTTCCTTCCCAAAACAGGTTCTGCTGGCTGATTCCAGATTAATCAGAGAGTATCAAAAAGATGTGAACCTTTTGTTGGGTTCTGTGCCAGTCTCCCATCTAACAAGCCTGCTGCTTTTTTTGCCTCTACAGATCCCTGTTGGCACTGAGATTGAAGGGATGAATATCCTGGGACTGGTGCTGTTTGCTCTGGTTCTAGGAGTGGCACTGAAAAAGCTTGGCCACGAAGGGGAAGATCTGATTCGCTTCTTTAACTCATTCAATGAGGCAACTATGGTCCTGGTTTCCTGGATTATGTGGTAAGTGTGTGAGTGCAGACACACCTGCGGTAGAATAATAGTGTCCAGCTCAGTAATCTTACCCTTTATCTGCCTCTGGGTTTTCCATGCCACATCCCTCATCGTAGCAAAAGCAAATGTCATGAACGTCACTATGCCACTGTATAGGGTCTTTTCTTCTTGCTTGTGACCTACAGTTAGACTGATCCCGAAGGTGTCAGTCTGGAACGTATCAGATAGTTGCTTAGAAATATTCTCAAGGGCTCCATTCAGATTAATTAAAGAAAATCAGGCTTTCTGTTTCAAAGCACCCGAAGCTCATGGCCAGCTGCCATCGTATACCTAATTTATTCTGTCTCAGTTCCTGGGCTGGCATGAGTAAATGAGGTGTGAGCAAGTGAAGAATATGGCCATTTAAAAGCCCAGGATGTTTGTGCTTGGTGTGCACCTATAAATGTGGTGCATAACTGAAATCATACTTATAGCTTCCTGCCTTGATTTTTCTGTTGCCCAAAAAGTTACATGTGCTGACCTGAAAGATGCCCAAGGACATCGGAAGATAGCCCTCTCGCTGTTACTTGGTTTGAGAGGTGTCCTGTTGAGTGCATAAATACAGAGCCCCAGCTGTGACTTGTGTCAAAGGGTGACTGAAAACCTAAGTCACTTTGCATAGAAAGAGGGGACAGTCATCCTACTGCAGGGGTATGCTCTCCATCCTCCTGCAACAATAGTGCTGGCTCTTGAGCGTTTTGCCACTGTTATCATCAGAGCCTGAGTTTCATGATGGATCTTTAAATCTCTGTTCCTGTTCAAAAATCTCTTCCATTTTCCTGGCTGAAGCAGGAACCAGTGTTACTAGCACTGTCCAGACACATTTAGATGATGAACGTAGCCCTGACTGAGCTCACAAAGCCTTTGGCCCTCAGCAAAAGCATGGGGTGCGCTGAACTTTTTCACTAGGCGAGAGACCAGATCAGAGGAGACAGGAACCTCCAGAGAGCAGTTCTTGCCACCTCAGCTCTGGAGTGTGACCAAGCTCCTGACTAAGTTTTATTCACCTGATGGGGTTGAATGTAGGCCTCAAAGCAAAAGTATGGCTGTTCTTGTTCAGGTGGGATGGTCTAGGTTCCTGCTTTGAGACCAATAGCACTAATATCTGACATGCAAAAATGAAAAGTCGTAAGGACAGTTACTTAACAAATTAACTGTAAGACGTTTTTCTGTCTCTTTCCAATGCTATGCACTTACCTTAGTGAAACTATGTTTTCATCCTTCCTTTTGCATTTTTTACTCTTGCTATTTTCCCCTCCCTGTAAGAAGCATAAAGGTTTTAACAAAACATCTGATTTTACGCAGGCAGGTCTGTGTTAGTTACTGTCATAAGGGATTGAAAAATTCAAAATCTCAAAGCAGCTTAAGTCTTCTACTCTTGAGTGTAATTCCTGGGATACTGAATACAGATAAGTGGCAGTTCTTGTATTCAGCTGATTACAGTGCTAACACTTCGAGCCAATCAGTTGATGTATAATCCTTTACTTGGTGGATTATCAGGACCACAGCTGATTCTGACACTGTGGGGCACCCATGGTCCTTCTCTTTCTTTCCTTAAAACTCTTGTGTCATCCTGATACTTATCCAAAACCTGTCAAGGCACCTGTACTTCCCAAAGGATAGTTTGGAATGGGTCCAGTCATACCACCAAGAGAAGAGACAGCTTGAGCTCTGTCTAGCTCTGCTCAGCAGCCTTTCATATTCAGCAGCACTTAGGTCTCAGTTTCCAGCTCCTTCCACTCCAGCCTCCCACTTCGAAGGGAGAGATCTAGTCTCAGCTCTGAGTCCGGTGTTCGCATTTGCAGAGCTTGTACAGGACTGGCGCTCCCAGAGACCTTGCTAATTGGGATGCTCAGAAACGTAGGTCAAAGGCAGCATGTCACAGAATTAGCAGAGGTTGTGTGGGGACGGTTAAACAGGCTCCGCCCAGAGATGTGGCCAAGGGAGGCCAGAGAAAGGATGCTTATGTTGAGCTGAAACATGTGGAGGTGCTCTCTGTGCAGAGCGGAGGAGCCACAGAACTGCTGGGGGAGAAGCAGGCAAGGTAGAGGTGAGTGATACTTAAGGAAATCTTAAGGCTTGCATCTGTTTGCAAACCTTTGCATGCTTAACCTCACCTTCTGAAGTTTGTTCCGGCTGCACAAATCAGCCTCACCGAACATGGTCACGATGGACTGGAGGGGTGAGTGGGATAAAAGCGTTATTCCTGAGTTGTGCAGGCAAATGTTTTGCAGCCACAGATTTGCAGCCACGTGTGTGGCTGAGGTGACGTTTTGGAGAGCTGGGTGACTTTTTGGTATTTCCTAATCTTAGAAGCAGGATGGATAAGAGCATGAACAACGTCAGCAGAAATACTCAGACACAGACTTCCTACGTACAGCTTTGGAGGAACTGGGTCTAGGCCTGAAGTGATTCCCAAAGTTGGTTTAGTGGCTGTTATGCTGCAGGTGCAAGGGCAAATCTGCCTCTTCAGGACTGTCCCCAGGTGTGCTAGTGTGGCTGGAGGAGGGTTTGGGGCTTGTACGTGGCGTTTTCCCCTTGAGCAGCTCCAAGCGTTCCTGACAAGGGGAAATCCAAACAAATGCTGACATCCGGAAACCTGTTTCCAGATAGGAGACATGGGAATGTATGTGGCTGTTGGCTTGAGGGAGGCTCTGGAAGCTTAGTCACTTACCTTAATCTTCTGTAGACAAAGAGCAGAGTTAATAGCTTTCTTTGGCATGTGCATTAGCAGCCTTTAGCTGAGCTCTCTGCCACTGAAAATGGTTATAGCTTTTTCTTTCTTGCACTGAACGTGTTGGCATGCAGTATGTCTGCCATTTTAGTGACCCAACTTCATGCTTCTGCTGCCAAACTCTGTAATGCCCACTCTTCTATACCTTTCTCAGCTCCCCTGGAGCGATATTGCTCCTTTTTCTTCCCTACGATCAGCCTTCCCTTCAGCAGTGACCTACTTAGCATTGGGTCTTTGCCCACCCTCCTCCCTGACAGACTAAAACTCCATGCTAGTGTCTTGTCCCGATGGCTTCTGCCAACATGTCCACTCCCAGTCTGGCGTCCTTTCTGCGGTTTCCTAGAGGTCTCTTTCAGGGCATAGGTCAGTGGGAGGTTTTTCGGTTTGTCTTCCACCAAGTAAGAGTGTAAGAGGGGCCTTGCAAATTTGCTTAACCTGAGAGTGTGGTGAATAAAGTGCTAGCCCTTCAGTAGGAGCAGCATATTTGTCAGAAGAGTGTAAGCTGTAGCAAAGAAAGCAGCGTTTTTCACAGCTTGGTGTTTGAACTTAATGACAGACCATAATTCTTTACACAGGTATGTACCTATTGGCATTATGTTCCTTATTGGGAGCAAGATTGTGGAAATGGAAGATATTGTGCTTCTGGTGACCAGTCTGGGAAAATACATCTTCGCCTCTATTCTGGGCCACTTCATCCATGGAGGAATCATTCTGCCACTTATTTATTTTCTATCAACACGCCAAAATCCTTATCGCTTTCTCTTAGGACTTATCACACCACTTACCACTGCTTTTGCCACTTCCTCCAGGTGAGCTTCTGTGCTTCTTTTGGGAGTATAGTCTGGTTGTATTCATGATCGTAAACTAGTTGCATCCTGGCACCAAACTGCGATGAGTTTTAGGTCCAAGTATTATTTCTGAGATTGTAAAAAGACACTTCTGAGCATACAGAGTCTCACTGCTATCAGCAGCCTACTACCCTAGAAATGCTAATATTTAGCTATCGAAAATGATCCTCAAAGTGTGGGGGCTATAGCGTGATCCTGAGTTGGAAATTTTTCATGGAAAGGGTGAAAGTGTTTGCCTGAAAAAGATCCTACTAGTTGTCCTTTCAATTTTAAGTAACAAATGAAGGTCAGTAGTGAGGGACTTTGACTTGAGAAGTTTATTTCTCCCAAGTGCAAGAGGATCTGGAACAAGTTTAGACTGATTTTGCCGAAGCAAAGCAGATTTACTAGCTAGTGTAAAATGGCATAGCACTACTGATTTCAAGGATCTGGCCTGATCAGCTTTTATTTCTCATAGCCAAGGATTGCCAAACTATCAAGCATGTCATTTACGGCTTTCCCAAGGGGCTAACTTCTTATCAGTGATCACAACAGTATAAAATCATTCCAGGTCATCTCCAAAAAGCATAGATGCATGACTGTCTCAGGAGCTGAATTCAACATGAAGTAGTAGAGGATTTATGAATCATTTATAATCATTTACCCGTATCATTTATAATGCAAGAAATAAATCTAACAGTGAATTTGGATTTGTCTATTAATTTGAAAAGTTAATAGTACACCAGTAAGAAGATATTGTTGTTATATTTGCTGTGTTTATATTGGCATCTGTTGTAGTATATTTATGCCTTGATGCTCGTTATTCCAAAGTCCTGTTACACTGCATACTGAGCTAAGTCATGAGTTCTTGCCCCTGGGAGATTAGAGTCCTTATCAGCTATTTCTGGGTATAAGCAGATTATTAAATGCCACTGCTCAAGAGGGGCAATACCAACAAGGAGGGACACTGCCATTGTGACAGAGAGGAACTACAGAATGGCATCATCTTTATAATAGTCTTGTCTGGGATTTCATGTTGCAGTGTTAGAAACATGACCGCCATGAGACAGTGACTTTCCATTGAGCGCGCTCTAAGGCTTTGTGATTGATTTTCCCTCTTCTGTGTTTCTAGCTCGGCCACTCTCCCATCGATGATCAAATGTATTGAGGAAAACAATGGAGTCGACAAGAGGATCAGCAGGTTTATCCTTCCTATTGGGGCGACTGTGAACATGGATGGAGCTGCTATTTTTCAGTGCATGGCAGCTGTGTTTATTGCTCAGCTGAACAATGTTGACCTCAATGCTGGGCAGATCTTCACTATTCTGTAAGTTGCTTGCTATTGCAACCACATCCTTCTGGCCCCCAGACACATTAAAGTCTGTGGTCTTTCTGCTAATAGCTAGCAGTTTGCATTCCACATCTCTGACCTAAGGTTTGCAAGCTGCTATGAAACATAATTACAGGGTGATTAAGGCATGGAGTCTTTCAAGCTTTATAAGATTTGCCAGAATCTCGATTTAATAAAAGGTGGAACCTGGGAGGGGTAACTGAATTATGAACAGACTTTGAGTTGTTTAAAGCTTTTCCTCACACAAGATTCCTCTCCTTCCTTAAGGATCTCTCCCCACTTCTCTTGCCACTGAGCTGGGTAATTGTGGCATGCTCCTCTACCCAGAAGGCTGCCCTGACTTTCTCTCTGGATGTCTTAGAAAGTACTTCTGTTGGCTCACTAGCTCCTTGTGTATCAATTTCATACTCATGACACTGCCCCTGCTTACCTCTGCGTCTCCTGCCATTGTATCACCGATTTCTCATTATCACCCTCCTCCTAGCTGTTTTGCTTTGCCTCGTTATCCCCTCCGCCATCCTGCATTGGCAGGCAGGAAAGGATTTGCTTGGGAAGCAAATGATCTGTGTGTCTCTCACTGCAGAGATTGTTGAGAATTCCCACGGTGGGGAAATGTGTGCTGTAACTTTAGAGAAAGGAGCACTACAGAACTCGTGCTAACTGGGTTCGTACATTCACTTGCAGCGTGACTGCCACTGCATCTAGCGTGGGTGCAGCAGGTATCCCAGCTGGAGGAGTCCTCACCATCGCTATCATCCTGGAGGCTATTGGACTTCCAACCAATGATCTCTCCTTGATATTAGCAGTGGACTGGATTGTGTAAGTACCTTAGGCCATACATATCTGCTGTTGGATGCCATGCTGCACGATCAGGTGGAAACCTGCTGCAGGGTAGTCAAAGTAGCATATTATAAAATAAAAACCTACGAGGTGAGGCTGCCTACAGGACAGGAAATTTGGTGGACAGGCCAGGTGACAGAGAACAATGGAGAGGGCATTCCCTTTCCAGTCAAAGAAGTTCATATGCTAAAATTCCTCTTCAGCTTTTTTACCCAACCTTTATTGAAACAGATTTCTCCCTGGTTTCAGTTACCTTCAGAAGAATAGTTAAAAGTTTGTGCAAGAAGGTATTGATGTTGCTGAAAATTAGATGGACGCTAAGGGGAAGGGAAGGAAAAGGAAATTGAGTCTGAATAGTTGGAGAAAACTTTCTGGGAGTCAGGTGTGTGAAGCAGTCTCCACTAGAAGCTGTTGGCAGCTATTGTCTGAACAACAAAAGCAAGACTGGTCAGAATATCGAAGCAACAGAGCGAACTGCCCTCCATTGGCAGAGCAGGGACACAGAGGGCACGCAGCAGTCATCACAGCAGTAGGCAGTGTCACAGCCAGAACGTGCTGCTGGGAACCGTAAGTTAGGTACATCACTTTCCCTTTCCCTGTTCTGGGAAAGAGCTAAGAGGTCAGACCTTTGCTCAGCATCTTCTCTCCTTTCACCAAGAACCATTTCCCTCTTTGAAACATGAGAGATTATGCCTTGCCCAGCTCTGTTTGGAAGAATTTATCCCACCACTCAGCTTGGTAATGTCCTTGTTTAAGCCTAAATTTACCTTCTGTACCACCACCTAAGTGAAATTAGGGAAGGGTTAGAAAATGTATTTTGCATTAAGTACTGGGGACCCAGCCACGAGTGTATGAAAAGTGTAAATTCTACGTGCAGATGATTTCTTATTGCTTAAATGAGCTCTGTGGAAATGGGTCTCTCAGCTTTTCCTTTCAGATAAGCCTTTTTGTGTCTGCTCTTCTTTAAATACTAGCAAATCAAACTGGAAGGACTTCTCTGAGCACTCATGAATTACATCACAGCTGAATGGTTAGCCTCTTTCTGCCCTCAAATCTTAATGCCTAATTTCAGTGCTCCAGAAAGCCTAACTTTAATGCCTACCCTTTAAACGCTAGTGAAATAAACATGATCTGAAAGCTTATCAGCAATATCTGCTTTCAAGACATCTGGTTGGAGGTGAGTGGTGGGCTGAAACCACTGTTTAATGAGGGTCAAGTGACCTGAATCCCACTGCTAGCCATACGCCTGTTTTTTCCAGTTGGCGGGTTTCTAGGCAGTTCCTGGTTTAGATTTTACATAATCCCTCTGAATTGCTCTTTGAAAGCAACAGCCTTGCTGTATGGATGGGCTAGTCACACAGAAGGCATGGAAATTGGGATCTCTGAGGACAGTCTTGAATTCCCAAGGCTGGGGAAGAGGGCAACTGCGTTACCTCCTCCCTCCCCATGCAAACACACATCTGTGGAGCATGATCACGTTTGTACAGCTTTGTTAGGGCCACTGAACTCTTCCTTGCTGTCACCACCTGGGGAACCAGCCACCTCCAGAGGATAAGAGAGATAGGCAAAGAAGTGGCTAGCCCTTTCATGTCCCACCTTTCTGAGGGATTACAGTAGTAGCTGTGCTTTCCACAAGCTATGCTTGGAGGTGCCTGGAGGCACGAGCGAAAAGCTTATTGCTCCTTTCACTCTGGCCTACTCTCAGTCTGTATCGTGCAGGCCACCTTCATCTCAAAATATGTAGTACCAGTCAGGGGTCAACGCTGTTCTAGTTGAGCCTTGTGGTGATAAGAGGGAGGGAACAGTCCCGTATCTTGTTTTAATGCTAGCCATTTAATTACCAAACAGAACCACAGTTACCAGTTAAGCACATTTTGAAACTAGGCTGTGAAATTACTGCGGGAAGGCTCAAAATGCAGGTGAAGAAATTGTTCCTCTTTACGAGGAACCTCCTCCATTAAGCCCTGCTCCACACTATTCTTGTGTTGCCTGACCAGGGAATAGGACAGGGGCTACAGGCAAGAATTGTTCATTCTGCCTAATTCTGGACACCTTCAATAGATGTTTGGGTTAAGAGACTAGTCTTTCTAAGCTCCCTAAATAGTTAAAAAGGGGAGACTGTTGCTCTGAGTCACCTGGATAAGCCCAAATTAAGTTCCTGCTGTGAACTCATATTTGAAATGTGCCGGCCTGGGAAAGGGGAGAGAGGTGGACTGTGAAAAGAAGGATATCTGAGAGCATAGTACCATTGGTCTGAGAGACCAGAACCAGTTCACAGTAATGGTTGAGCCCGCCTTAAACCGGCTCCAGTGCACATTGGTGATGATATGGGTACGGAACATAGTTATGATAGCAATATGTCCCTTCTCTAACCCTACTGATGTTAGTGAACAAACTGTGGGGATGAATTTTGTTCCACATACTGCGTTTTAACTCTCTTAAATTAAAAGAGCTCTTTTTTTTTTTTTTTTTTTTTTTTTTTTTTTTTTTTTTTTTTTTTTTTTTTTTTACTCTTAACCAGGGACCGAACGACCACAGTTGTGAATGTGGAAGGGGATGCCCTAGGAGCAGGTATCCTTCATTATCTGAACGAAAAAGCAAAGAAAGACAAAGAACAGGAGTTAAAGGAAGTCAGCGTAGAAGCAGTTCCCAACAGCAAGTCTGAAGGGGAAACATCGCCTTTGGTAACTCACAAAAACCAAGTCTCCAACACAACCAGCACAGCAGACCCCGAATCCAAGGAATCAGTATTGTGAACTAGAGGCGGTTCATCAGCACGTGTCCTAGAGGTGGACCGGTGACTTGTTAACACGCCTAGACATTTGCAGTGCTAACAAGGGCTGGACGGCTCGTAAAAGTTTTCTGTTACAGTCTGTTTTGAAACACACTGGTTTGGGGAGGGGGAGGGATGCAGGTTGGGGGGAGAAAGGATGGTGAGAAAAAACACTTGCTTTATAATAATATTTTGATAGTTCATATGTGTACATGTATATATGTGTTGCACATACACACACATATACATGTATGTGAAAACAACGCCATTGAGACTTCGGGTTTAACAAGAGATCTGTTACTAAAGGCCCATATATGGGTAGGAGATGGGGAAGTAGACTAACCCAGTAAATGCTGGTTGTAGGAGAAAATTAGTAGGTTTACTGTGCTGCTGTTCAGGTGGAGATACGGTCTAGAGACTCCAAAGCGGGTGAGAATGTTGTTCAGATTTAGTTTCTTGCCTGGAAACACTTGCTGACAACTGCAGAAACAATATGAAGCAACATTTTTCTCCCATTTCCCTTCCTCTCCTCTTCTCCTGTCCCATAAAAACAGCAAAAAGAAGCTGAAAACTAGTTTTTGTTTTGTTTTTTTAGTTTCATGTTTGAATTAGTAGCTTATGGGGGTCTGATCCTTGTTCCGTTCCTCCAGTGCATTGCAGCTCATAGTGGCTTTCCTGCCTTTTGGTGAGTAACTCCCAAATTTTAGGACCAGACAAAGAAGATCTCAGTGGAGATCAAAGACCATTTTCTCCTTCACTCTAACCAAGCAATTGAGCAAAAATCCAGAGGAAACACAAATTTTGTTAAGATAATCCCTCTTGGGCCAAAAAGAAATGTGGAGTCTGTTCCAGCTCAGATCTATGTGAATGAGACTTGCCTGTGACAACATCAAGAAACTAAGTCAGTTCCCTTCATGAAAACACACATGCTCCTTTGCTAGCACACCTTGTCCTGTTCATGTTTGTTTAATGGGTCAGTCCAGACAAATTAAGTCATATCCCTTTTCGCAGCAAACTTGAACAGGGGAGGGAAAAATCTGAAGGCACAACATGTGGGAACTGACAACAGGCAAGTCTGCTTGTTGGCTCAAAAGGGGAAGAAAGGTGAGTTTCTAATCCCGTGTAATTCAGTGATCTCTGGGTATACCTGTTCCTGTTAGGAGCTTGGTCCTCTTTTAAGTGTCTTCTGGCAGTAGCTCACATTTAATAATTCTGGGTGGTGCTGGGCCAGCGTAGTGCTTAGTGGCAGATGGTGACCTTTGCTTGAGGCTGAGCCAAACGCTTCTGGATTCTGACTCTACCCTTTTTTCCTTTATCACATACATCCTGAATTTGCACCCCAAATCTGATCAAAGTCCAGCAAACAAACTGCAAAGCTCCTGTTGATTTCTCTTGGCTTTTTGGACAGCAAATAGTTACAAAATGAATGCTGTGCAAGGGGAAAGGTTTGCCTGGACTTGCGACTCTTTTCCTTGGCTAGTTCAGTAAGATGAGTGTATATGGTCAGTCTCCACAGTGTTAACTCAGCCATATATATTTACACTTAGCTTTGATAAAAAGCAATGACAAGTCTCTCCTTTTCTTTATCCTCTCTTGCATCAGAGGAAACTGTCTAGAGGAAAGATGTCTAGTTGCTGATGCTTCTGTTCATGGCACTAGGAAGAGGCAGTTCCAATTTTAATAGCAGCAGCAGCCTTCATTTGCAAAGCGTCCTTACTGATAAAGGAACACAAGTATCTTGAAAAAGACGTTCGGAATGAGATGTAGCCACCTTTGAGGGAAAACAGAGTAAGTGTGTCATTACTGGCTGTTTAATTGTGTGCAGCAGGGTTACACAAACAATCAAGGTAGGAAAGGATTAGTCAGCCCACTGTAAAACTGCAGGTGGAGTTTCTTTTTAACCAGTTTATTTATGTCCACATCCACAAAATTTGGACATTCCTTGGCTCATCTTAAAAATCTAAGGAGACACACACAGTTCTTTAAGGACGTTCTTTGCCCGGTATTTATTATTTCATTTTCCAGCCGATTAAGACCCACTGCAACTTTGCATTTCCTCCCATTAGAAGCCTCTCAGCTCCTCTAAGTCAGGAAACCAGAAGCGCACTTTGTAGCTGGTCATAGAAGTCAACAAATAAGAGGTGTTTTGAAAAACTTTGGTATTTGAAGAAATGGGTCTCAACAGAACCTTTTTGGTTTTTTTAACAAGCATAAATATTTAATGAATGCCTCAAGGGAGCTGCAAATCACTACTGTTGTCTGTAGGCTGAGTTCTGTAGTTGCGTTTTTTCTCCCACCCGGCATTTAGCCCTCCATTCTCTGATGCTCTCCCCCAAACCAGCTCATGAGAGCAGGCAGTGAGAGCACCAAAACAGCATTTCCCATGAAGAATCACAGCAGCGTTTCAGAGTAGAGCATTTCCTGGTTTTGCTTTTTCACCCCAAAGTTGACACTGCTCACAGGTGAAAGTATTCATCCCCACACCTGGGGTTCCTCGCAGACAGCATTGCCCTGTTGATTTTTCTTCCCTGTGGTACTCCAGGCTGGTTGTGCCTCTTCCCTGTAGCAGCGTGGGGTAGGCTATGAGGCATTCTTCCTTAGAGCAGACTCCAGGGAATTGTAAAGTGAAACCGATACCTCTGAATCTTTTTAGTAATTTCCAGTAGCAATGCAAAAGCACAGGTCTCTGCTGAAAAATACCTCCCCCAATTCCCACTAGTGGGTTGCCATGTTTTGCATCATTGTGAATGTCAAGGTAATTTTAAGATGGAGTCCCGTGTCAAGCTTGTTCCAGTGGTCAGATTCAAAGAGGTCAAATCATTACTGTAGGTGGAATTTAACCACGGAAATCTAACACTCCTTCTCCTGGCAACAGGTGCGATAGGGCTTTTATGGATCATGAGTATTCAGGACCAGTCTTCTTAACTTACTAGAAATCTGTAATTTTACAGTACCTCTATTTTAGGCTTATAATGGTGCCAGTTGTTTTGGTGTTTGCACAAAGCAAGAGGTACCCAGAGGTTCCACAGAAGCAGGGTAATTACTGCTTGTCAGAATATCTTCTTTTGTCTTTTCTGTATCATCTCTGTCACAAGTTATATGGCCATGCCACATCTTCTCCATCTCCATGGGCTTTCCATCCTGCTTCTGCTTTTTTTTTTAAGTACAAATGTAAAAGATCAAATATTACACTCTCATGGACTGTAACAATGTTGGTACGTTCTAACAGGTGCCCTTGTAGCAATGTGAATCCTCACTGAAAGCCCAGTGAAACTTGTAGAAAACTTGCCATTTGCTTCAAGTGGTCAAGATCTTCAGGTAAGGTTGTTGAGTGAAAAATGAAAGGGCTGTTGAAGGATGTGCATTTTTCTCATTCTGTGCTGTTCAGATGCAGTCCTTGACCTGGAGTGCAATGTGTTACACTGAGAACTTCCTATTTCAGATCCCCATGCAGCCTCTTGCCAAGAGACTGAGAGCTGACTAAGAAGGTACTCAGCAGCAGTGCAGGTGCAGCCAGTGGTACCTGCTCTGCCCTTATCCAGGCTCTCCATGAATCTGGTGCCCCATGGTAGTTAATGCAATGTCTCTCTGACTGGATGAATGTTTGAGGCCTCCCAGCTTGACTGTAGAATGGAAACCTCTTCCGTCAATTGCTTTTTCTTTCAGAAGGAAATAAATTCCATCTAGGAAATATCTTTCTTCTTTTTGATTTTAGTCTTTCCTCTGGAAGGGGCAAATCCTTTTTGTCCCCCCTGGGGTTCTCCCTACAGTATCCACATGCCCTGGGGACACTGGGCTGCCGTTGCCTTTCCTGCCCCAGCTTCCTTTCATTTCCTTTTTAGGTTTCCTATAAGTTTGTATCTTGGGTCCAAGGGTGAATTCCTACTGATTCTTTCCATTTTTAAGGGCTGTTTCTCACATGCATTCTCTGATGTAAGGTAACGTGGGGGAGCTCCAGTCACATCCTTTCATTGCAAGAGGAGTGGGGTATTGGTGGCATCTCCTTCCCCTGTGCAGGCTTTGGCTTGTATGAAATGTATCATATGCTGCCATCGTGGAGGTCTCTGTGCTGCACAGGTGAAAAGGGACTGAAAAAGAACAGTGGATTCTAGTGTTACTAAGTCAGAAGAGGAGGGAGGATACACACCCAGAGCAATGCTGTGGTCACAGAAACCTCCTCTCCTTAGGAAAGCAGGCTGCAAACTGCTCATGCCCTATCTTCTAGTACTATGATTGGTTTGGGGAAGATATGGGAATACAGAAGAGAAGGTAAGATCAGTCCTTGGCATGCTCCATCCCATTTTGTCTGCAGCACTGTTTTTTCTTCTTTCTTCTGCCCTTTTCTTTTCCGAGGAACTTTCTTGGACTATTTTAGACCATTTTTTATTTCCTCTTCTCCAGGACTGACTTTCCCCTCCATGCTTTATCCATCACTGCCTCATTTCATCCCACTTCCTGAAATGCCCAAAGATGTTTTTATTTGTCAGTGGCTCAGGCTTAAGCGGGAGGGTGGATGCTGAGGGTCGAGGGTCCCAGCTGGTCCTGGGGAATGTAGTTGTCCAGTGATGTGTGTGCATTCTGCCTTGCTCCTGCTCTAGCTCACCGAGGGTTTGCGAAGCTTAGTAAGTTAATGAGTTGCTCTGAGGGTGCTAAGCAGCATTTCTGTGGTCCTGAGAAAGGGGCTTGTTCTGTGCTGTGAGAGGTGGCTAGGAAGCCCTGACAAGCTGTAGTGAGCAATGGAGGGTGCCAACACTTGACTGCTATTAGGGTCTTTTGAATAAAGACACATTATTCCCAGGAATTGAGCTTCAGCTGAGTCTCAGCTGGCAGGCTGGTAATTGCACTGCAAGATTCAGTAATTGCAAAGGACTCTAAAACCCTCTTGGGATGTCTCTTGCAGTCAGAACCGCTTTTGTCTTGAGAACAAACGAAGGCCAAATGTAAGACAGGGCTCTTCCTGCAGTGATGTGCCAAACAGCATTAGGTGCATTGTGGGTCCTTTACACATGCATAATGGAAACGTGGAGCCAGCCAAAGTACCAAATCAGCTGGTAAAACCTCTGCTTTCCCTTTCTGCTGAACAGTCCTGATGCTGCCTGTACAGACAGCGCTCTGAGTTGGGAGGGCAGGAGACTAGGAGAAGCGTGCGTGGGGTAAGAAGGTTTCATAACGTGCTTACTCTGTCCTTATACTTTTCCCTGAGCATCTGCTGTGGCCGCTGCCAGAGGTGGACATGATCCAGTAAGACCATTCTTATATTCCTTCTCTCATGCATTTCAGCATATTTTACAGCAAGAGAAATTAAAACTGAGGCTTTCAAGCCACTGTTGAAGGGAAAGCTTCCTCTTTCAAGTTCCTGAGCCAGTCAGAGGTCCTGGTATCTTTGTGGCTGACCACCCCATGTACGTTGTAGGCTGTGTCCTCGAGGGCTTGCCTAAACAGCTTCTTTCGGCAAAGATCAGTAGTGTTGGTGAACAGTGCTGCTTTGGGGCTCTGCAGAAGTGTGGGCTGAATCTTCACTCCTGATCCGCTGCTAGCACAGCACCTTCCTGCAGCCCTCTAGAAAACAGCCTCCTGCTGGAATCCATCTTTTTTTCCCCTGAGCCTCCCACAAGGAGGGAGCAATGGGCCTCAGGTAGGGACCAAAGGACAAACTCTTGCCAGCAGAAAAATGTCACATCTTCACGGATCATAACTGGGGGCCATGGCAGTTCACAGTCACCTGCAGACCTGCCTGATGAGCAGCACAGAATTAGGCAGGTCACATAAATCCTGTGCTTGTAAATGGAGGTTATAGATACTTACCTGTCTCTCACAGGCAATAATGTGGAGGACAGTGAATCAACAGTGTTTTTAATGCCCTCTTAAGACACACAGCACTAAATCTTAAAACGATAACAAAAATCTGAAAGCAAACGAATAATGAAAATATATGTCATGAAGGCAGAGTTGCATTGTGCGAGGGTGCGAATGATTCATTGTGTGACAGAAAGGAGGAGAGTGCTGTTCAAATGTACATATTTGCTGGACTCGCTCGGGGAAGAGTGGAAGCTGGTGTCAGAATGGGCTGCATTTCGAAAAGGGGATATGATTTGGTCAAGTGGAGGAGCACAGTGCCCTGTTATATCTGCGTGACACATCTGCCTGATATATGTGAAGGAAGAGCTGGAAGTTAAGGTTGCAGAGGGAGCAACAGAGAGGACAGGGTAGGTGAGTGGATAAGAGAGTAAATTAAATAAATGGAAAAGAGAATAAGTTAACACACTGAAGGAAGCATCTTTTCCTTGGCATTTTCTTGTGGGTAACGTCAAAAAGACTGCGTTTGCCTAGCATATAGCAGCAATCATGCAAATCCCTGCCGGCGGACACTGGGCAGGGTTTGCAGGGAGAGGCGCAGACTGGGCGCTGTTTGCGAAGCACACTGTCACTGAGTGACAGCTAAGCACCCAGCATGCCCGTGTGGGGCTCTCATAAGCTGCGCCTGGCTGCTCGCCATAACCACAGGGAAAAAACAGTACAGTTCTGCATCAGGCATTGACCCACATTCATCCGTGCAGAATAGCTGGGACAAATGCTCCTCAGCAAAACGCATGGTAGCTATTATTCTCCGAGGACAAAAAAGACTTTGTTAACAATCTATGCAAGCATATTCATGAAAGCCATGTTCACTTGCTGCTTCAGTTTCAGGGAGGAGAGAAAGGAGTAAGGCAAATGATCTTAGTCTTTTTCTAACATTGGGCAACACATTGAGACAGCTGCCCCTGGATATTTTAAGTCTGATGAAAACTGATCAAGAGCCTTATTTGGTTTCCATAGCTCTCTGTCTTCACATCTGATCACCGGCTTGGGCAGTTAATGTTCGTACAGTATTCATTCTCCCCTTGGGGTCTTTATAGACGTTTGTGACCAGCAGGCACCATTTCACAGATGCAGAAGTGAATGCATACAGAGAAGGGTAAAAGGATGCTTTCTTAAGTGACGTGAGGTCACCAAAAAAGGCTAGGGTGTACCTCACGAGTCCTGAAACCAAGGCCGTCGTTAGCTAATGCTACCCCCCTATAAAATTAATGTATGAGTTTATAGAAAATATACTTGAGTATTGATACCATACCCTTGATAGTATATTAGGGCAGGAAGTATTTTACTGCTTAGGAATGAGACGGGCTGATCACTCCATTTTCGGGGGGGGGAAGGGTGGAAGAGAAGTGTAGAAGTAGGAGAGTTATCTCCCCTCTAGAATGGATTTTTTTTTTTAATAGAAAAGCAAAAAAAGAAAATATCTTTTTCATTCAACCACTGTATGGTTACTTACCAAGGGCCCTGATTCTGTCTCGGTGTCAGCAGAGCCTCAATAGCAATGAAATCTCATTTGGGTTTAACCACCAACCTCAGTGGCAGCAGGAGCTGATGGTTCTGAACATGTTAGCAGGCCAACTCTGTATGTCCTGCTCAAGAAACATTCATACTTGTCTTGCCCAGGGCTGCAAGTTCCTAAAAGGCCAGAGATGCTGGCTGCAAGGCAGGCAGGGCTATTGATGGGAACCAGAGTGAGGAAAGGAGTTTTTAGTCAACCTTGCAGTAGTGCAAAGCTAACAATGTGGCTTTAAGCTTACAGAGACCAGGAAACTCGGTGTTAGATAATTCTCAGGATAGGTTTCGCTTGTTCCTCCTGATAACAACGCCCAGCAAAGTAACATGCTTCTTTGCAAGCATATATTTAGTAACTGAAGTTAAACTGCGTATGGCATGTAAGTACAACTTAAGTTAGCTGCTGTTACACATTACAGAAAAAGATTACCAAGGGAAATCTCTGATGGCTTTTTGCAAGGAAATTGTTTGCACATGCCTGAACCCCCCCTGGAATACATTCCCACTGAAAGACGTGTGCTTAACCATAAAAATAGCCCAAATATTAACTGGTATGCGTTGTAGCGTTTTAAGAACCAGAAGGAATGGCACAAAATGGATGGGCCAGGGCCTTCACTGATTTGAAGTAATGTAACTCCAAGAGCTTTCAGTGGCCTATGGACTTCTGATAGAGATAATACCTCCCTGGCAGCATGGGGTTTTGATCTGGTCCTTTTTTAAGAAGCTAACGTTCCTGAAAATGCCCAGCAGTGCAGCAGTAAAAGAATGTTTTTAAAGCTTGTTGGCTATAACCAGAGGCATTTTATCTGCTCTCAGTATTCTTGGGAATTGGTGTTTGCTCTGGCTCCCACAAGAAAACCGTGCTCTTGAGGAGGTCAGGTTTGATGCAGAAGAAAGGCTTCCTGATTTCTGGATGGACTTTCCTTCTCTGTATCCCACTTGCAGAGTCTGCTCTGGTCCTTGGAGTCTGACCAGACTGTAGCAATCAGCAGCAGGACCAGGGTCCTACAGTACATGGATTAAACATAAAGCTGTCCTCGCCCCTCCCTCACGCTGCAGTATCTCACGTCTTGTCAACTTTAGGGTAAGAGCTGGTTTGAAAAAATTATTTCAAGGCAATACCTGAATGGCATTTTACACTTTAATTTAAAGTCGAGTAGTTGTGACCAAGTTAACCCCGTTCTGGCTCTGCAACAAAGAGCAGAACAGGCTCTCTGTTGACATTACTTCCCTGAGGACCAGTGTGGAGGAAGTGTGTTCGCCATCCCTGACTATTTCAGTCTTTTAAGGATATAGTGCTATTTAGACTTTCTTTGTTACCATCCTGGTTACACTTGTAACAAAGCATGTGCTGTACTGGATGGAGACCATGAGCAGCAGTAAAAACAGCTGAGTGTACCTTGGTGACTGGGAGATGTTCCTCTTCTTCTGAATTGCTTTTTGTTTATGGGAAACTGAGCGTGACTCACTCACACCTCGTGAGGATGAAGATTTTGATTAGCCCTCTAGATTCAGGGACAGCAGGACCACCGCTAAGGCATGAGGAGTCTCCTTCTGCAGTAGAGCTATGAAATCTGCCTTATTACTGTTAAAGGTGCCTTGTCTTGGTTTCCTTCAGGCCAAATTCACAGTCACTGTTTGGCTTTTAAATATAACTATGCACCAAAGGTGAGAGACTCAGTTATCCCTGCAGACAGAAGGGAGAACATGATGTCCTGGTTGAGACTAGAGCCTGATCCTTGGGACAGGGAAAGTGAGTTTCTTTTCTTCATCCTATAAACTCTCTGTTAGCAAGTCTGCCTCTGATGTGCGTAGGTGTATGTGTGCTTTTCTTTCTACATAAACACAAATTGCCCTAATCAGGAGGGAGGATTCTTGTATTTTTATATGCTAAGCAATTTGATTAATTAATAATATGACACACAGATAAGCTTTGAAATCCACTACCATCTGCTCCAGTACAATTCAGTGTCACTGATATGTAGGTATCTGCCTTTAGACAGAACTTAGGGCTACGTGAATGCACGTAGAGTAACCACTCCACTGGAAAAGTACCTTGTGCCATGTGGGTGTGTTGTTCCTCATGAACTTTTGTAACTGTTCCTGTTTAAAAGCTATGGGTTTGATCCATGTGACTCTGTTTCAGCCTTTTTATTATCTACTAAGAACAGATGTATGTGCGCACACGCAAAAAGGACCATATTGCTATGTCTGGGGCTGTGTGACCCTGGGGTAGATATTACAGATCTGTTTACAGTGTAGTGCACCCTTGGGCATAACAAGTCTCCCTGCCTGCAGGGGGGCAGAAAAATCATGTGGCTCAGGTTGAGATGGTTGTTACTTTAGGAGGGTGACTACGATTCTTTCTCTCTTTTTCCCGTCATGTATATTTGTCTGTCTTTATGTAGCTTCTTAATCTGAAATAAAAATCACCCCAAACAGAATTCATGTTTCGACTTTTGTTTGGAGAAGGCCTAACCTGTTAGCTGGATGAAGGCTTGCCTAGGTGGCTGGACAGTTTACTGGACCAAGATTTCCGGCCCTGTTCTGATATCGTCACCCAAGCGAGTTCTCCGTGACGCCTGTGGGAATGCCCCTGAACGAGAACAGTGCAACTCAGCATTCGGGTCCACCTTCCCAGAACTGGGCCCTTTGCCAGCAGGCCAGTGTCACCGGTTAACTGTGTATTATTCCATTTACCCCATCCCCATGAAGCAGTCTTACGCAGGGTAGCGTTTCTCCAAGCCTTAGGCACAGATAACCAGCTTGACGGGAGCTTGCAGGAGAGACAGAACAGTCGATACGTTTCAGAGACGTGCGTTGCAGCGGAGTAATGGGCGCACAGGCAACCCGCTGCACGTTCTACTGAATGAACAGACTTTGTCCCCTGGGAGGGGATTGAGAGATGGAACAAATCATCCGGCAGATCCCTTTGCAGCAGGCCTCTGCTAAGTTCAGGGTGTTTTTCTTTTGCTATGTGGAGTAAGTCTGATCGGTGTGTTGGTTTCAGAATCGAGGGCCTGAGTTTGCTACCAAAGCGGTTTTGATGCAGTTCTTCCCTTAAAAGCTCGTATGTCCCTGTAGAGTAGATTGTATCCTGAGACACACACCACAGTATCACAAATCCTGAAAAAGTCTACTACTATCTATGTGTATTTCAGTAGCTTCAAGCATTATGTTCTGGTCCCAGAACTAATAGGTGCAAAATATCCAAGAATGCAAGCACAAGAATAAAGAAGACAAATCTTTAATTGTTTGTTCTTGTATCCTTCCTATACTGTAGGGATAGTAATACTTCTCCATGGATAGATTATGAGGATATTTGCTTTGTGTTTGCACAGAAGTATACTTTGAAGGACCTGTTTGTGTATGACTTAAAAATCCTGACTGATACTGTGTCTTGGTATGTGAATTTTATGAAACTACAAATGTGGTATTTTCCAAAGGCTCATCTGATCCCAAGGTTGTCTTCTTGCTTCCCTTTTGAAATACCGTGGAGCAACCTGGAAGAACTCCAGACAAGTGAGCAGACAGAGAAGTACTCTTGCACCTCGATCGCTCTCCATTCGAGTGTCAGCAACTTTGGATAAAGAGACAGCTGCTGCCTAAAATAAGCAGGTTTTCCAAAACTTTCTGAGGTAAGTGGTGATCAAGTGTCAGATCTGTAATGCCTTGCCATTTGAAACACATGAAGCTTTATGAGACCTCTGGAAACTGTGGAAAGATCCTATTGTCCTTAATGAGAACCAAGTCGAGCCCTAGATCGAGTCCAGCTGGCTTACACCGGACACTATAAGAGCTTGCTAGCCATTAACGCCAACCAAACTAGTTAAAACTTCTCATGAGATTTTCAACAAAATGTGAAAAGAAGAAGTTCTAATTAAAATTCATTGATTTCATTCTGTTTTTCCATTCACCACCTTCCAGTCTGGCCGCATACTTTCCATTCTCCAAATTTGATCCTTCTGTAAAAGGAGGAGGGTTTTGAGGAAAGCGTTCCCCACTTCTTCCTTAGGAAAGCTCTAGTTATGGGTTAAAAAGGCCGATTCCACATATTTGCATAGTTCACATGAAGAACAGCATCTAAAAGGGAATTTATAACAAAAGGAGCTGCAATTGCTGTAACTTAATATATGATATTTGGAGATTAAATCCAACAGTGGCTAAGGAGCGGATTAGTCCTTTTTTTTAAGTCCTGGTTTGTGTGATTAAGATAGGTGTAAAATTGTGGGGAAGTACTGCGTGAGTTAGTTTAAAGGTTGAAAGACAACACCAGTAGCTGTGCTAATAGTTAGGTCATCTTTTAGGTATGTAGATTGGTGTTAGCTTATTGAAAATCAAATGTCTGGTATCTTCCCCTTACAAGCTTTCAAATGGACGTACAAGTACCTTGTACCTCTTCAGAGTCTCGTGAGCTGCGATCAGAAAAAGAGTTTTACAGCTAAAAGATGTTTACAGCTAACTTGCTGCTCTTGGATGTCAGAGTAAAGCCATCAGGCTAAGGAGGATACTTAGGGTTTTAGACTGGGCAGAGAGGGTAGCAGTTGGAATTTATTTCACATTTTGGAAGCTGTCTTCATGATCATAAGGGTTGGGCTTGTCAAAGTACATGCCAGGGACCAGATAAATTACAAAGTGGCTCTGAAACTTAGGACCGCAGATGCAACACAATGCCGCTCCATAGGCCTGCGTAAAAAGACTTCCCCATCTCTGCAAGATAGCGATCAGAAGTGCTATCTAAAACGACTGTAATTACTGTGTCACAAAAACATGTACCCCATCAGGCAGATCTGGATTCTCTTCATCATGGTGTACTACAGTGTAATTAGATGGAGGTGCCTGCAGCTACGGGAGCTGGAGGGAAGCCTACGAACATTTGTAACTTGAATCTCAAAAAGTGAGTAGGTGCCACCAGCAGCAGCAGAGTTGTTAAGATGAAGCTTTGCTTCCCTGGTAGCGCATCTTTAATCAACTGTAGTAATTCGACTCACTGAGCTTCCTTAAGGCACGGGGTTTTGTTCTTTTAGCTGTACCATTCTTGCTGATGTAGGAAACTAGTGTGACCAAACTCAGTGCAAGATCTTACAGAAGAAGAAGATGATATTTATTTACAACATTTCCACTTAAGTTGATTTTGCCCACACACTCTCATAGATTTCATTCAGTCGCTCACTCACAAGCAACAAAATATGTGTGTTCAAGCAGTCTGGCCTGGGTTGCTTGTGTGCAACACATAGGAACAGGGATGCTGGCTGTCAAATCCTCACTAAATCTGGGTTCCTCTTGGTTGGTGATTATGAACTAGTTTTTGGACAGATCTTTAATAATCTTTAGGAATCCACAGCTGTTGCGTAGTGGTCCTTTGCTACAGTCTGTCTTCCCGGTGGGCTCCCAGAAGAAGGAATGGGATACGTGATGTGCTGCAACCCTGTTGGCATCCTCCTGTTATCAGAGAGCAGTCTTCCACGAATGAGTTGCCTGTGCTACAGTTTTATCAGTGTGCAGGCCTTCCAGGCTTGACAAAGACAACACATTCCCCAATTTTTGGCTGGGAATAGCATCCTTTGTTATCAATACAAGACGTTCTTTTAACCCTTGTTCTGCTATTTCTTCTGATGTTCGCATACGTGCTTTTTCATTCATAGCAATCCTAATATTTCTTTTACAAGTCTCTATGCTGGTTCCTGCAGAACGCAGCTCTGGTTTCAAAGAGTCTTTGAGTTCTGCTCCAGGCAACAAGCAAATGACAGAGGGCCGATACATCCTAGCAATTAGAGATAAAAAGTTAAAAATTATTTGAGTTTAAAAGTTCCCCATGTTCCCTACGGAAAGTTATAGCAAAATCTCACATTTAAAAATTAAAATTTTCCCAATTATTCACTGCCTGTTATAACTCACATAGATTGAAACTGCCACCACCTCCTGATCAGCTGGCCCCTTTTTATTTCACAGGAGCATGTCGCTTTTATCTAGCAAGAAGAAAGGCGAGGCTTGGGCCATACCAACTCCCTTCTGTTCATCCTCGTCTGTGCCACAGCACCTAGCCCTGACCTGCAGCTGTCTGAGTGGTTTTGAATGGATGACAGTGCTAGCCTGGCCTGAATACAGGTAAGAAGATACTTTGGGGGAATAAGGAAAACTGGAAAGTAGACACCTGCCTCTGTGAGTATTTGTTGGCTGTCCTGTCAAGCTGTCTGTGGAGTGATGGGTACATCGTGTGGCCAGAAAGGAGAAATGCAACTTCTGCTTACTAACCTTTATCTTGGGCTGAATCCTGGCACTCTATCCAGCTGAGCAATTAGATGGTAAAGAACTGAAATTGCCCAACTGCTAGCACTGGGATTCCCTGCACTTCAATGTTGACACAAAAATAGATGTCCCTCTCTATTTTTCTCTATTCTTCATTTATCCTCCTTTAGGTATTTTATTTGTCAGCTGCTCGGGGGGCCCTGAAGTCATATTTTCCAGTTCTTCTCTAAAATTAGGAAGAAAAAGAAAAGAAAAAACTTTTTTTTTTTTTGTTAAGGAAAGATTTAGCAATAGCATATTTATAGCTATAATATAGCTACAATAATCTAAAAGTATGAGTGAGGGAACGTTTGTAGGCTTTTGATGAGCCTTCCCATGACTTTATAAACAAGCTAAAGAAACATGGCTGCTAAAGAACCTGCTGCTCAGACATTATTAGTATAACTGTCCAGCTGGAAGACTGGATTCCCCAGGGGTGTAGTGTAGGTGCAGGACTGTAAATATTTCATTAGTCATGCAAATGTTGGAACAGAGAAAATCTGAAGGTCCCACCTGGGGGAGAAGCTCTGGAAACGTGTAGAAAAGCAGACTTGAAATTCATAGCTACACTGGAAAAACTGAGAGAGGGTCTGGAAAACAGAGGCTGCAAAGAGTTAAGCTAGGTGAGGATAATTGACTGCACAAATACTGATGGGAAACAGTGGATTAAGGAGCAGGAGCAGGAAATTGTGGCCAATCAGAAGCTCAGCAGGCACCAAACATCCTGTGTTGTGAAAAAGGCAGATAACATACCAGGATGTGTCAACAGGAACGCAGCTTGGACTATAATATTAGGTTTGTATTATCATTGCCAGGCCTGCAGTGGAGTTTTGGACCAGGTTTAGGTGCCGAGCTTCAAACACATCTGGCCTAAAGAGAGGAGAACAAGGGGAATGGTCCAAGATGTGGAAAGGCTCACCTCCGAGGAAAGAAAAAGTCCTTTTCTACCAGAAGAGAAGGTTGTCTTCCTACAGTAGA